ACTTATTTTTGGGGGTTTTTCTGATAGTAGCCAACCTAAGTGTTTGAGATGATATCTCATTGTGGTTTTGATTTACATCTCTCTAATGATTAGTGATATGGGGATCTTTTCATATATTTGCTGGCTATTTATATATCATCTTTAGAGAAATGTTTATTCAAATTCTTTGCCCATTTAAAAATCAGGTTATTTGTTTTGTTGTTGAATTGCAGGAGTTCTTTATATATTCTGGGTATTAACCTCTTAAAATATATATATATATATATATATATATATATATATATATATATATAATTGCAAATATTCCTCATAATCTGGAAGTAATTTTTGCACTCAGTTGATTATATCCTTTGGTGCACAGGAGCATACAAAATTTTTAAGGATATTATTGATACATTAATATTAATATTACTTGATATATCCACTTCATGAGGATAAATCGGAGATATTTTTCTTAAGATTCAGTAGTAGGAATAGTTAGTTTTCCTATGAACAACTGGTTTGCTATGATCCTGTGAGTGGTGATGATACCAAGTGACAAAAAAGCTCAATTGTGGCTCAATTAGAATGATGATATTGAGCCTCAAGACTGCATTTTGTGCAGGGGACTCATATCTATGCTCTGTTCCCTTTGAAATGATTTTCCCAAATATTCCTTTTAAATGTTTTATATTTTAGATAGTTTAGCAATCTGCCTAAAATTATTTTTGAGTGGGAGAGAAACTGATGCTATTTTCAATAGTTACTAAAACCATAACATTTCACAGAGAAGGAAAATAAGCCCAGCGTCTATAAATAACTTTCTGAAGTCCACATAATTAGTAAAAGAACAGGAGCCAAGGTTCAATCCAAGGTTTACCTTATGGATTTTTCCAAAATATCAGGCCATTTCTTCAAGCAGTGAACAAAAATTTCCATAATATGAGACAAGAAGTGTCACTTGTGATGTGGTTGCTATATCCTCTAAGAAGTCAGAGGAGTGAGATCACTTTCTGCAAGAGTGATCAGGGAAGGCTTGAGCTTGAAAAGTGGAAAAGTTAGGGAGAGGGGAGGGAATGACAATGAGCAAAATTGTAGAAATAAACAAAAAATATGACTTAGAAGTACTGTAGTCCAGCTGCCTAACACTATTCCTTATTGAGCGCAAGACAGACTCTGAATAGAGAAAAAGAGAGAAGCAAAGCATTAAATATAGATTTGAGTGACAAAATGGAGCCTGTTTATTCTGGTGTTATAAATTTGGACTTAATTTGAAGTATCAGGGAGTCAAGGAAAATTTTTAGCAGGATTCTCTAAGTAAGTTTCCCTAGAACCAGAGGCTAAAAAAGTGATATATTCATAGGGTCTCTCAAGTGAAACTGTAAGAGAGTAAAGTAAGGAAAAGACAGGGGAAGAAAATGGGCAAATATATGGGTTTGGGCAAAGTCTACTCACAGCCTGATCTCATAAGGATCTGGAAGGTAAATGACAAGTCAGGGTCTTATTTCAGTCAGTCTCTAGCTGAGGGCCAACCCAGGCATCTCTGGGCAGGATGGCTCCCAATGGATTGAAGCAATCCTCAGGAAAAGAAGGAGTCCAAAAGCACCCAACCCTCACAGCAACTGAAGGACTGTCACACTGCCCCCGTGAATGAAAACTAAGCAGGCACCAGCCATGGCATTTTAAAGGATGAACTGGAATGGTAGCAGCCTGAAGAATTAGATACAGATATGAAAGGTCATACTATCTGAACCTGAACAGTGGATGTGAAGCAAAATGACAGCTTTCCCAGAATATCCACATCCTTACCCCCAACCTGGGAATATGTTACATTAAATAGCAAAAGAGACTTAGCATGATTAAGGTTAAAAATGTTAAGATTCGATTATACAAATTAGCCAGGTGGCCCCAATATAACCACATGATCCCACAAAAGCAGAAGCTTTTCCTTGCTACAGTTAGCAAGAGATGAGATGTTTCTGGTTTTGAAGATGTAGGAAAATAACAATGCACCAAGATATAGAGCAGCTTCCAAGAGCTGGAAAAGGCAAGATTTCCCCTGGAACTTCAGGAAGGAATGTAACCCTATGATACATTGATTTAAGCCCAGGGAGACTCATGTTGAACTTCTGAACTATAGAAACATAAGATAATAAATTAGCATTCTTTTCATTTGTCACAGCAGCAATAGGAAACCAATAGAGAAGAAGGACAAGACTAATGAATAAGAAATTGATAGAATTCCCACAACTAAAAATAAAAGCCTTAAAGCTAACATTAGCCTCTGTTTTATCTTACTGTTTCCATTTTAAGTAAAATTAATCATTCTTACTACGTTCATCAGAATTCACAAACTTTAAAACCCACAAGAAAAAAAAATAATTAAAAAAAATGACCATTGAATATAATTGGAATAGAATATAAATGATTGGTACTTTATAAAGGTTAAGAAAAATAGATCTTTAGAAACCCCCCCAATCTTTTAATAGATTAAAAGGAAGAAATTAACTAATAGTTATTATTACATTAGAGACATAGGTATCAGGTCAACGCTAGTTGTAAATCATTCTGTTTGGTGTTTTTTTTTAGTATCTGAGATTCACATTTTCTTACAGAGAAAAATGTAGGACTGTGAGCTACATGGTCAGCAGAGAGCGCCATGGGGCCACCTCTCTTCTCAACCAAAGCTGCTTTCCAGGCAGGCAAATTTAAGAGTGAGCGGCTATGGCTCTGGCAGTCTGTGTTTGCCTTTCATTATCTGGAACTCTTAAAAAGTTAGGTATGAGAATGGAAACAATTTCTTTACACCAAAATAAGTATTTTTAAATAAAAGTTTACTTATTGCAATTATTGACATCTTCCCAATAAAAATAAAAAATACTAAATCTATAATAAATTTCAGCAATTTCCATGAAGTCTTCAAAAATCGGAATATCAGGTAAGGAAATGAAAATCAGCAGTGTATGCAATGTAGTTAAATAGAAACTCCTCTCAGCTAGTACGTGGAAGAGAGAGGGTTTCGGTATGGATGTGTCCTGAAGATCAAGTATCATGGCAACCCCTGAGGGTGAGGGTGAAATCTATTTTCAGTTGAAAAAACAGTTTCTATATTCTTTAGCTCACCAAAAAGGTGTAGACACCAACTCTACTGCTAGTTAGAACCCAGAAGAAAGCAAGGACAAGGGCCAAGCAAAATCATACAAGCTCATTTATGGATCAGGCAGCCGGGGCTTTGCAGAATATACTGGAAAGAGCAAGTGAACCTAGAAATAGAGATGATGAGGTCTTTGTACTTTAAGTGAACACAGAATAAAAATGAAGGAGCAGAGTTTATGAAATTTCTACAAGTTATAAGGAAGGTCATGGTGTAAGAAGGGGACCAGCTGGGGCAAAGTCAATGAGGGACACACAGAGGAAGAAGACTAGAAAAGCAGGACAAAGCCAAGAGACCACATCTGCCACTTTTTCTGCTTGCTCTTATTTTAGTCAAGGTCTAGTTTTGCACAGAGTTGGTACATATATAAATTAGTTTTTAAATATGATGGTTTATTAACTCAATACTTAAAAGTATATTGATAAATTTAACGTATTATTTAGTCAAATAGCAATGTATTTTTAGGGGACAAAATTCAAAAGATAATCCTATTTAGAATAGAAGAGTACTGACTTTATTGTTTTTGTAAAAATAATACAATTATTACATTATAGCTTATTATTTTAAAATGTAATGATTTATAGAATTCCATTTTTTGTGCAGTACTCTCTATCATTCTCTTTCTATGTATCTAGCCACCAAGCCAGTTATAATATGCTTCTCTTTAAAGAGATATTTAGGTCAATATTCACCAATATTCATGGCTATTTCTAGATGCTTTGCCCTTTTCCAATTACATATCTGAAATCAGTTTTTTTTCGGCTGAAACAACATATCATAACACAATGAGTGCAGAAGTAGTTATGAAAATTCAGAAGTTTCCAACTAAGCCAGGCATTAAAGAGACTTTCAAAAAATGTAAATAATGTAATATTCTTACAAATACCTTGTTTTGGCAAATAAAGTATTTTCCATAAAAAATGCTATCTTTGTTAATATAATGGTTTTATCACTGTTATTTTTTAAATAAACAACATGTAAATTTTTTAGTAGCCTTAATTTCTTACATGGTAAATACTGATAGATGTAATCTACACTAACTAAAGGCTCTTGAGGTCCCTGTCGTAAGAGCGTAGAGGGGTCCTGAGACAAAACCAAACAAAACAAAAATGAGTACTTCTATCCCAATGACTCCTAAATGTATAACTAAATCAAATCTCTCATGAGTAATAGCGTATATAAATATGCTTAACAGACAACTCAAAATAAACAAGCCAAAAGAGAATTCTTAATGTTACTGCAACCTGCCTAGTGTGCTTTCCCCCAGTTTTTCCAATTTGGGTAAATGGCACTACAGTTTACCTAGTTGCTCCTCTCCCAAACCCAGGAATGAATCATCACTGACTGATTTCTTCTACAACTCCCCACATCGGATACACTTAACAAGTTCTACTGACCCAAGTGTTAAAATATATTCCTAATTATGTCACTTCTCACCACCTTCATAACTATCACCCCGGTGAAGGCACCATCATATTCTCTTTGCATCTTGGAATTTAAAAACAAAACAATTGAGTAAGGTTTCCAAAGAATAGCTATAAAAGAGTATAAGTGTCTTCCATATCTTCACCTTCATCATAAGATACAAAAAAAAATACTTTATATAATATATTATTAGTTTTCCTTTTTTCAGTTTAGTGATTCAGTGATTCACTTTTCTCTAACCAAACTCTAAAACTCCTGACTCTAAAGAGTAGTGATATAAAGCCTTCATGCAATAACTTTCATAAAAGAATCAAAGCATGTAACTGAAAGTTTTGAAAAGTTAGCACCAATAAATTATACTTGAACACTTTCTATGTTTCAGAAAGTCTTTCATTTAGACAGTGAATTAAAATGGAAATTCTATATTTTCTTTTCAACTTACCTTATCGAGTTCATCTGAAATTGCAATACCTGGGATTCAAAAGAGATGTATAAAAAAAGTTTTAGAAGCAGTCTTTAACAACCCAATGTTAGAAACAAAAGCAAAATTTCCATTTGTAAAATTAGTACATTTTCCATTCTATTTTTGGCTTTTATTAGTGCTTCAAGATAATGTGGTATATCCTTTCTACTAACAAATTAGGAATTTAAGTCAACTGTAACAGCACAAAGTGTTGAACAGTGCAAATGTGCAAAAAAACAAAACAAGTACCATACTGCTTGCAGATTGCGAAATGCAGAGCAAACATGCAAAGACAAGTGTAGAGATGTTGTCTTTATGTTATAATGACAATCAAGTACAGCTTAGCATGTTACAATTTTGTTCCTTCTGAAGAATTGATTTAGACTCCTAGAGTGATAAAATATTATAGCAGAATAGTGGTTGGAGATCATTTATTTTAATTCCCTTATTCTATAGCTGAAAACACAGACAACAGAGCTTAAGGAATTTGCCCCATATTCCCTTAGGCTGACAGCTTCTTGAGCCAGTAGATGAATGATTCCTCCTCACAAGTTTGCCTTCAAATCATCCACACGTTTCTCACTGTGTATCAGTCTAATTTCTGTCTTTACTATTCCTCCAAAATTGGTCTAAGTCAGCAACATAAAAAGTTTTCATCCTTAATTTATTTGTGATAACAGGCTCTTTTAACCTCTTTCTCCTCCTTGAAATGCTGCCCTCGCTCTTCATTCTCTTTGTCTTCTTCACAGGAGTCCTCTTCTTTGCGGGTAGGGAGTCCTTCCCGGAAATGCCTGGGGTTCTTTCCTGAGCTGTCTTTCTTTTTCACTAATATACTTCCCATGGTAATCTAACTCATACCAATAACATTTTTATTTCTCTATACGGTGATGACCAGCGAATCTTTATCCCCAGCATAGACCTTCCTGACCTGGTTGCTGAATTCCTGTGGGCATTTCAATCTCGACATGTCAGACTAAAGCCCTCATCCTCCCGTCTCCTCATTTCTTTTTTTGAACAATAGTTTGCCTGCAGCTGGACAGCAGCCATAGGAGCAGGCCCAGGAGCAGGCCCAGTCAGCCCTCAGGTTTGAGGTATGGGGTAAAGGGAAGCTAGTGTCAAATCCCAGTGTAGGATGGGCCAAGAGACAAGGAAAGTCCTAAGGTTTGAAGTCAAAGGAAACACAGAGAAAATAAAAACAGATTGTAGCCAATGTTCAGCAGGCTATAAATAAAGCCTAAGAAAGAATAAATTGGGTTGGAAAAAAGAACCTGCAAACAGTAGCAAGAAAATAAGTCTGAGGAAAAATCCCCTCACCTGATCAGGTACAGAATGTCTGTACAGAATGCCAGTACTTTGTTGGTTGCTATATATTATTTCGCTCTCCACTGACCTACTAAATCAGTTATACACAAAGTAGAAAAAGATGCCCTACTTTATCTCGGTAAGCTGCACGACACTTCCCCTTGTAGATAAAACTAAAACACACATGTATCTGAGACACATTCTTCATCACAGTACTCTATGAAATCATTTTTTGGTAAAAGTTATTGGTAACTAAGAATTCTTATGTGTCACTACGCTAAAAGAGAGTCTAGCTACCACTACTGGGATTTGGGGGGACCTAACTTCACAATTATTCAAGGACTCACTGTGTTATAAAGACAGCTCCTTCAAACAACTCAAGAAGACTTCACAAAGGAGCAGCACCACAGCTGGGGTGTGCAGTGAACCACAGTCCTGTGTAGGGGAGCATATGTGGACAGATGAGGGATCCCAAAGTTCTGGGCAATTACAAATATTTCTGAAAGCCTAACATAAGCCACACATTTATGAATGTTTGGGTTTAAAAAATATACACAAATATGAATGGTACTTAGAATGACCCCAATTTCAAGCTAATATAGGAATTTCAGAGTATCAAGTGGTTTATGTCATAGTCTATGGATGATTTAAAATACATTATTCTGGTTTATAGAAGACAAATACATATTTTAAATGCTTGTATTTACATTTATTATAGTACTAAAGAAGTGTTCCTTTCCAATGAGTTCAAGATTAAAATTGAACATATGGTATAAAAACAAATATTTAAGAGCCTTAGTCTATTTTAAAAAAGAGAGAACAAAGATATATTAAAAAAAAAAAAACTCTTTTCTCCCCCAAAGTCATAAAGCTTAGATATTTAGAATTAAATAATGCATGATTCAAGTGACTCGGATTTTTTAAACTCTCTTGATTTTTTTCAACTTTCTGCATTAATGCCCTTGGCCCTGCAATGAGTTTTCTCATTTGATTGTTAGAAAGCATTCAGTTGATCCTTAAGTTTTTTACCCCTCATATTTATGAAACCCATTATTCATAAAGATAATAGTAATACTTCACCTATCTCGAATGTAGCCAAGACCCAGCAAGTAAGTCAAAAGGCCTTTGAATAGTGAGAATACCCGGCACTTATGAGCTAACTCTTTGCAGCCTCTGTTCATGGTCCATCACTCTTGATTTTAGCATACATCAGGAGCTTTTTTGCAAGACAAAGAAATATTTGCCAGTGGAAACTGGCGATAAAGAGAAGGCTGCTATGAAAAGATATTAAAGAATGATGAAGTGACAGATCCCAGAACAAAACTCAAACTAGGTAAACAGGAAACTTCATTTGGGAAAGGAATTGTGCCTCTAATTGTTCCAGGTGTTTGGCCTTACATATTTTGTTCAAATATCTACTATTTTATTTTCCTAACATTTACATATTTTGATGAATTTGCCCAAGAAATTACCTAAATGAATTTCCACTCTATTATATATATAATTCTTTTCACTCCTTATTATTTATATCAAATTTCCTGGAAATTTTTCACTTTTTGTTATTTTTTTTTTTTTTAATTTACTTATCTGACAGACAGAGATCACAAGTAGGCAGAGAGGCAGGCAGAGAGAGAGGAGAAAGCAGGCTCCCTGCTGAGCAGAGAGCCCGATGCGGGGCTCGATCCCAGGACCCTGGGATCATGACCTGAGCGGAAGGCAGAGGCTTTAACCCACTGAGCCACCCAGGCGCCCCTGTTATTTCATTTTTAATCAAAGTTTAAACTGATTAAAAGCAGTTGAAAGAATGTTAAAGAAATGCTCCTTTACAGAAGCATGAAGCCGTGATGAGAACAATTCATATTGAAGAGCCAGGATTTTTCTCCTAGTGCCTAGCAGAGCATTCACAGATATTCCCTGAGAGAAGAATAACAATTTTTGGCCATTTCATTAACTCTTAAGAGCCATTGTATCTTAAGTCATATTTTTTCAGTTTATAGAAGCTGAGAAGTGGGGAACAGAGAAAATACCCTGGAAAATATGCAAGAAAAAATACAGTGGGTTGCTAATATGTTGTAAGGAAAGAAGGCCTAGAGTTTAATTGTGGGACTTTTTATTTCCTCCTTTTTTTATTATTTATTTTTTCAACAAATACAGCTTTTATATATTTAATTAACATATAATGTGTGATTTGTTTCAGGGGTACAGGTCTATGATTCATCAGTCTTACACAATTCACAGCACTCACCATAGCACATATCCTCCCCAACATCCATCAGCCAGCCACCCTATCCCTCCCACCCACACCCCCTCCAGCAACCTAATTGTGGGACTCTTGATGCACACTGGCACATGTGGTCTTCCTAAAAGTCACACCAAAACCTTACAGGAAACACTGTACTATCAGAGTAGCCAAAGAGGCTTGGCTTAGGGTAGCAATGGGTGTCCACCTTATAAAAGTGGGCTGCCCATAAGAAACTGGGGAAAATGAGTTCCCTCAGAAACTAAGCTTCTCTTCTAGATAAAGAAACAAGGGCTCCGACAGGCATATCAGAGGTGGCTTCCTGGTTCTGCTGTAGTGCAAGCCCATCTGGATGAATTTCACTTGTGTCCTTCAGCCTATGGGCATTTCCACTTATTCCAATCTCCAAAGAAGTCTCGGTGGTATCAGAAATTTATGCCAAAACACAGTTCTCACATTTCCAAATGTGAGTTGTGCTCTATCAAGGAAACCACAGCTATCTGCTTCACTACGATGTGCATCTTCCCAGGTATCAGCTTAGCCCTAGAGATAAAATTCAGTTATAGCTACCAGAAATGGAAGGAGAAAATTTTCAAGAGTCTTTACAGCTTAGTCAGTGTAATTAATCCATGAGGGTAGGTCAGAAAATTCATATTCATGGAATGGAATGAGCTATTTCTCCAAAATGTTTCCCTATGGAAAAAAATCCAAACTGATCCAAACTAGCTTGTGAGAACCAATTCTGCACATTTCTTCCCAACTTCTCATTGAGCACTAATTGCTAGCCTGAAATAAGCCACATTAGGAGTATTTACAGCATGGAAATTGGCAAATGCTACAAATTAGGGATTATTTTTTGAGTTAGTGTCCCAGGATACTACCAAGGAATGCACAGTGTTAAAGCAAATACCTATGTAAGCATCACACATACCAACAAATTGAACACTGTTGATACCTCAGACCTATACCTGACCATTTGCCAATTAAAACACTCTTTAGATAGGTTACTGACTGCTCTTAGAGCAAAGGGAGTTCCTGCTACAAAGTGAGGGATTCTATCTTCAATATCATTACCAAAGAAAAAAGTTAGGAAAAATTTTCTGTAAGGAGTTAAATAGTAAATACTTCAGGATTTTAAAGTTACATATGGTCTGTGTCATATCCATATATTTCTTCTTTTTTTTTAAACAACCTTTAAAAATGTAAGAAATATATTTATTAGCTCATGGGCTACAAAGACCACAGGCTAGATTTGGCTCCCTGCTCAGAGTTTGCTGAGTCTTGTTCTAGAAACACATTCCAGCTTTTATCCTTGATTAATTGACTCTTTCAAGGATACTTCCAAACCTTCAGGGTTTTCATCAGGCCCCAACCCATCTCCTCACTATAAAAGACTTGTTCCTTTTTCATAGCCTTTCTTACTCACTTCGTCCTTTATGCAACAAAGGTACAAAGTTTTCCTCTTAC